TCTTCTCAGAGTCAGCCACAGTTTGTTATGATCCACACAGTCAAATGCCTTTGCATAGTCAATGAAACACAGATAGACATTCCTCTGGTATTCCCTGAAATTACCTTTTTTATTGACAAAACTGCATTGTTAGAGCTAGGGTTTCACCCTAGTATAAAACCCAGTGATCACTCCCAGCAGGGAGGCAGTCTTGGAGGTGACTCACTGTCTCCCAGATCTGTGTAATAAATAGCTTATGGATATTGCAATCCATTTGTCTTACTGGCGATTGGCTACAGAAAGAACCCCTTGCGTTCATTAACAAACATATGTAAATCTGCCTTTCTAATTACATTTTTAAAAATCAAGAAAATAGATTTAGAAGTTAGATGAGCAGAGTTGGGGAAAATGTATTTTAATCTTGGGAAGCAGGATTGATTTAAACAACTGTGAAAGGTAAGAACGCCAAGATGTTTTGGGAGGAATTAGGTTTCTTACTCTCTCATAGAATTCCTCTTCATTACGACTCTATTTGTAATTCCTTAGCAGCTTGAGTGAAAAAACAAAACAAAACCAAAAAACCAACTTTCTTTCTCATCCTTTTTAGTCAATTTATGAAGTAATAGAGAGATGACTACAAAATCCCCATCCAGCTATTTAGACAGGTCATGCAGGGATGGACTGTTCATATCTTATGACACCAAGGACCAGCTGGCTACTGAACAGCTAAATGGGATTATTAGTCACCTCAAATTTCTTGAGTTCTTCCTTGGCCACTGTGTAGAGCACCCCAGAGGAGCTGGGAAAGGCAGCTGTTCTTTCTGAGATCTTCAGCCAGTCTTCAAAACGAGAAAAGTCATCCAGGAACTTCTGCCACAAGCGCCACGTCTCTTCAATTCTGAGGCAGAAAACCCAAGAACAGAGAATGATTGTGTGTCTGGTGCCAACAACAGGATTAGGAGTGATCTGAGGAGCAACTGTCGTGACCAAACAATGAGTGTGCCTTGAACACACGGGCCTGGATCGAATGAGAGACAACTGCTGGAGCTAAAATAAAACAGCTGTTGAGGGTTTAGTTTTGTTGGGTTTTGGGGGGGTTTTGGTTTGGTTTTATTTTCAAAGAGAAAGAGAAAATAACAGATCCTATAGTTCGACTTTGGAATCGCCAAATAGAATATGAAATGCAAGCAACTGCATAGTCACATAAGGAAATTGAGAAACGCACTCTGTTTACCGTTTAGATGCAAACCAAGGTTCTCGAGAAATAAAATTGAGGTAGGAAAACACCATTTAAATCCAACACCAAACTCCAATTTAAATCCAATATCAAACTCCCTGAAATAAAAATATCAATCCTAGACAGCAAGGCAAAAAGTACAATTTTGTTTATCAGTATGATGATTACGCTCTAAGCCATTTTAATAACTTTCTCATGCATTTTTTTTTGCCATCTTCTATCTTAAATTTCAAGAGACTTACAGATAAATTAGTGTTTCTCTTTCTATCACTTCCTTTTCATTGCTCCAAATCCTGTAATATTACATTTGTTTTGCGAGGACATATAGTCACTTCTCTGAATTATATTGCAAACTGTGACATCAGCATCACTTAGGTTTGGTGTGCTCTGATACTAGGGAGCTCTGGTGGCACACAGTATCCTGTGTTGTGCTGCTATCTGAAAGGTTAGGGGTTTGACTCCCTCTACCAGCTAGTTGCTCCATGAGAGGAAGATGGGGACTCTCTTCCTAAAAATAGTTAAAGCCTCAGAAACCCAACAGGGGGTTGCTAAGAGGAGGAATCCACTCGCTGGTCGCATGTGCTGGGTTATCTGGATATCACCTGTGCCTCCTTATTTTCCCATAGAAATGAGTGCAGGTCTGGGAAGCCAGGAGGCTCCTTCACCTCCACAAGGAGCCATCGACGCACACGGGGTGCGTGCTTTCTGGCCTTTTCCTCTGTGACTTACTTGAGCCTCCTTTCCATTGACATGGCACAGATGTTTCTCCATCGCCGGTCCAGGTTTCGTGTGGCCTGTTGGATGGAGTCACACTCGGCGTCGGTGGCGCACGCATCACCGTCATGCAGCAGGACCTCACAGAGGTTGAGGACCGACGCCACCCCTGTGCTGTGCTTCTCAATGTCCCTCTGGAGCTCCTATGAGGGAAGAGGGCAAGCTTTACTCACAAGTCACATGGACACAGATAGGAGGACTCGCAACAGTATTCACTGGCTGATACAGATGGTTACTCTGAACCTTGAGAGATAGCTGAGTATCTTCGACACAAGAGATTTTCAGAAATGCATTTGTGAAATCCAGCAAGTGCACAAAACCTAACCCAACATGTCAATTCAGACCCACGGCGAAACAGAACAGAGCAGAAGTGTGGAAGCCCTGCTTTGTTCATCACCATGGAAGCTGCATCTGAACAACCAACGTTTTTATTAACAGATGAGTCCTTAACAACTGTGCCACCAGCACTTCAAAAAAGCTCAATAATATGAGAAAATAAACCTAGAAATAGATCAACTATTTTTTTTTACTATTTTTCCAAGCATTTTTTAGGGGGGAGAGGTTTTAAAAATTAATTTTCATGGAAGTTTACAGAGACTTAGGGTTTCCAGTCATTCATTGTTGCACTTTTCTCCCTCTCTCCTCCCCCCAGTTCACTCCTCTCCTTGAAAAGAAAGAAAAACTCTTTCATTGTTTTGCAATCCTTTCCCCCCAAGTCCACTCCACTGTGCATCCTTCTCTCCGAACTTCTATAATGACAAGAATATCCATTCATATATTCTTTTTAAACAGTTCTCTTCTTAGCAATGATAACATATAAACTGAACAAAAGAGAGAATTAAGAGAGCCAACCAGTTTTACTCATGGTAAAAATTAATCTTGTCTGCAGATCAAAACAACTATGAGATATCATCTCACCCCAGTAAGAATAGCAAAATTTAACAGAACAACAAACAACAAATGCTGGTGAGGTTATGGAGAAACTGGAACCCTTATTCACTGTTGGTAGAAGTGTAAAATGGTGCAACCACTGTGGAAGGCAGTACGGCGCTTTCTCTAAAAGTTGAAAATAGAGATACCATTTGACCCAGCAGTTCCACTACTGGGAATTTACCCTAAAGAAACCATAACAAGGGGAGCTCTGGTGGCCTAGTGGCAAGGAGCTGCAACTACAATCCCAGAGGCTCACGGTGCGAATCCACCAGATGCTCTGCCAGGAAAGGAGGGACAATCTCCTCCTGTACCAGTCAGATCTGATTTGACGGTACACTCACACAAAAATAAAATAAAAAAAAGAAAAAAAAAAGAAACCATAACAGCCACCCTAGCAGATATATGCACACCCTTGTTTACTGCGGCTTTGTTTACAATAGCAAGGAGTTGGAAACAACCTAAGTGCCCATCAACAAATGAATGGATAGGGAAGCCATGGTATATTCACACAATGGAATATTACGCTGCATTGAAAAACAAGCAACTCATGAAATATTATTAAAAATGGGTGACCTTGGAGGACTTTATGCTGAGTGAAATAGCTCATTCATAAAAGGACAAATACTGCATAGTGCCACTGTTATAAAATGGGACCGACATTTGGGTTGGGGGGGAGACTGAGAAAGATGGGATAAGTAATGTATACTGCATTGAAACAGATGGAGAAAATTGTTTAAAAGGGACATGTAATTAGCTATTATTGTCATGGCATGAGTCCAGAATGAAGGCTGAATAGTGGAGTGGACCTGGAGGGGGAGGGATTGTAAAATAATGAAAGAATTTTTCTTTTACTTTTCAAAGCGAAGAGTGTACTGGTGGGTGGGGGAGGAGTGGGCAGGGAGAAAAGTGCAGCAAGGAATGAATGGAAATCCAAAGTCTCTGTACATTTTCATTAAAATTAACAATCATTGGGGTGGGGCGTGTGTGGGAGGGATTGTGTACCAATGAAGGAGTTTTTCTTTCACTTTTCAAGGAGAGGAGCAAACGGGGGGGGGGCGGGGAGTGGGGACCATGAATGAATGAATGGAATTCCAAAATCTCTGTAGATGTTCATTGAAATGAAAAATAAATTAATAAAAAAATTAATAATAATAAAAAAATGCCCTTCAAAAAAATAATAAGACTAACATTGCAGCAAATACTGAAGAAAGTCCTTGTCACAGAAACACCACAAAAGTGATGGGTCAAAGTAACCAGTAACAATATAAAAAATAACCCCACAAAATAATAATAATAATAATAATAATACCATGCCTCTAATTAAAAAAAAGTGCATAGAAGATGCTAAAAACTGAGCAGAAGCAGCTGTAAACTTCCATTAATGACTGAAACACAGAACACATTAAGTAGGAATCTAGGAAAATAGAAGTTGTCAAAAATGAAATAGAATGTGTATAGATTAACATTCTAGGCATTAGTGAGCTGGGATGGGAAGGAATTAGCTACTTGGAATCAAACAATCATGTTGGCAATAAAAAACTGAAGAATAATAGTGTTGTATTCATTGTCAAAATAACCATTTCAAGATCTATCCTGAAGTTTAATGCTGTAAGTAATAGGATACTATATATAGACATACAAAAAGACCCATTAATACAACTATACAATATATATGTATTAATAATTAAAATCAAAGATTAATAACGAGAAGATTTCTTCAATTGTACAAACTAGTATAGTATGAAATTTATCAAACATGCAACTGAGATGCATTAAAAATAATTGGTAACTGGGGAGCTCTGGTGGCCTAGTGGCAAGAAGCTGCAACTACAATCCCAGAGGTGCACGGTTCGAACCCACCAGATGCTCTGCCGGGGAAGGAGGGGCAATCTCCTCCTGTACCAGTCAGATCTGATTTGATGGTACACGCACACAAAAAGAATAAAATAAAACAAAACAAAACACAAAAAAAAATAAAATATAATTGGTAACTGGAAGGCAAAAGTCTAGTAGAAGGATTAGTATTTGGAAATTATTGACTTCATGATAGAAAATAGACTGGAGACAGAATGAATGAATTTTTGTTTATCCATTAGGTATCTAAAATGCTAATTAATGTATCAATTTGAAAACTCACACTCAGTTATTGCCATTAAGTCAGAGCTGACTCATGGCTGACCCTCTGGCAGGTGGGTGAGGCTGTGTGGGGTTAACCTAAAAGCTGGCTTTATTTTAGTCATTAGTCTCCAGCTACCTTAACTGCAGATACATGGTCTTTCAAATCGGCATAGTCTTGAAAATTAGCATGAACTGTGGGACTAGGATAAGAGCAATAATGCTTCCCAAACTGGGCAGTAAGAATTGAAGTGAGCAAGGCTTATCACAGCAAGACCTTGGTGAGAGTGAGACTGTGGCGTGGAAAGACTGTGGCATTGCTATGAACAAACGGTGGCAGGGTGTGACCTAAAGTTTCTTGCATTTGTGCTGGCCACAGGTAAAAGTTTGGCTGTTCTTGCTGGTTGTTTGATGGAGAAGCTGACTCATAACTGCTCTGAAGGGAAAGCTTGATGGATGATTCAGTTATAACCACTCTGAGTTAAACTTTGCTGAGTGATTTGTATTTGACTGCTGAACTGAAACTGTAGCCTGGACTTATTGAGGAATTGTGCCTTTGAACTGTTGGGCTAAAGCCTGGAATTGTATTGTGAGATATTCTCTGCCTGTTATACTCACTTCCCTAATAAACCCCATTGTTTGTATGTTAAAAAAAAAAAATCTTGCCTTAGTTTCTACTTGTGAGGCAGATTGATCACCTCTATTGTGATCAATCAACCAATAACAGGAAAATATGCGCACCTGCTCAGGGTTGACACTTAAGAACTAGGACTTGGGCTCCAAAGCCTTGCAAGTTTGCCTTAAACATGGTAGTTAAAGGACAGACTAGACAGCCTTTAACCTTCTTGACGAGCCTGAGGATGGAGGAGGAAGAAACATTTAGACAGCACAGTGAGATTGTTGTACCTCCAAGTACTTAACAGAGTGCTTTTGGACTTGTGGATAGAGAGGTGTGCTGCCACCTTAAAGGTGGGTGGTTCAAATCCACCAGCTGCTCCTCAGGAGAAAGATGGGCAGTCATCTCCCATGTAATTTACAGCTTCTGAAAACTTGCTTGTGGGTCAGCTATGAGTTGGTTCTGACCCAACAGCAATGAGGTGGATTTGTGCTTTGTTTTAAAGTACTTAATCACATCGCACTTTTTGAAACTTAAATTTTTCCTGTCACTCTTCAAGGCCAGCTGTGCTAAATCAACCTGTCTTCAGTCGTGAGGACACAGTTTTTCTAGAACGGACACAATTTGAAACTTGGCATTGACACCCACGCAGAAATGGCACCACTGGCTCTGACAGAGTGGAGAATCATTGGAATGAATGAATTTCTATAACTCTATCAGCATCTTTAGATTTGAATCAGAAGTTAAAAAATGTTTTGTGACTAACAAATGGATTAACTGATCAATATTCTTCTTATGTGTGAGAATAGTACTGGGTTTATGTTTTTAAAAATATCCTATCTTTTAGAGATGCAAACTAAAATATGTAGGAGTAATAACTGAGATTGGCTTCAAAATAATGATGAGTGGAGGAAATTAGTGGTAAAGTAAAACAAAGCTGGCTACAAATGCAACATGGCTTTGGAGTTATGTGATTAATTGCAGATTAATCATACAATCTTACTTCCTTATGAATAAGCTTAAAAATTGCCATAAAAAGCAACTGATGCAGGGGAGCTCTGGTGGTCTAGTGGCAAGAAGCTGCACTGCAATTCCAGAGGTGCATGGTTCAAATCCACCAGATGTTCTGTTGGGGAAGGAGGGACAATCTCCTCCTGTACCAGTCAGATCCGATTTGATGGTACACACACAGAGAAAATAATAATTCTTTTTTTAAAAAAAGCAACTGATGCAAAGGCTGTATGTGAATTTGAGGTACAAATCCATCATAATAGGAACAGTTTCTTTCTCCTGCCATTATACAAATATGTAGATCATTTTCGAAACATTTAGCTTATGGCTACGGCAATATGCATATTTTTCGTAAAAAATCATGTTTTCACTTTTATAAAATACATTAAAATTTTAATTTAATCTGACAATAGAGTTGTGGTATTGCATACCGTCGACCAGGACTGACCCATAGCTCATGCTCCAGCA